TATACATGCCGGTTGTTGGCAGATGCTCTGGTGTGTTTTGCTTCTTCTTTCCTCATATCAAGCTTCTATCGTTCCTATCTTTTATCTTTCTTTGTATATTTGTTACTCTTGTAACACCTCTAATCTTTGGCATTTGTATGACTTTATTGTACAAATTATGTCCTTAAACTCTTACTAAAACTAATATATTGTGAACACATATTACGGTCCCACCCCTCATCTTCTTGAACCCCACAAAATATCACATTTCTGCAGCTGTTAGATTGCACTACTGGTGGATCCTACTTTTATATTTATCTGGGATTTTTAAAAGACACCGTCTACCCGGCTTATACAGTTTCGATACACGATGTGGTTTTCTTTAACTCAACAAATAAATAAACAAACGATCAAAATGTAAACCTTCATTTTCTGCACTGTGATAATTAGAATTTGTGTGGATGTGATTCTCTCTTTTAATCAAACAAACAAACAAACAATTAATAAACAAACAAACAAAAGGACGAACCCACGAACAACATAATGTACACCTTTTTGTTTTTTACTGGTCTAAATGATCCTTACTGTATGGATGTAATTCTAAAGACCAACAAACAATTCTTGGTTATAAATTAACTTCAACTTCTCTCTGTCTCTCTCCCCCACAGATCTGAGCTCGGAAGCAGCCACACCAGCGTCTATCCCTCACCCACGAGAGCTGGCCTTCACCTTCCCGGGAGGAGGAGGGGGCGGTGGCCCTGTTGTGAGCGTGGCTGGGGGCGGTGCCGTGGACAAAGGCGGGACCAGTGGCTCCTCGGACGGACAGCCATCAACCCCTCCCTCAGGATACAACCCGGGGAGGCGGAGGGCGTCAATGCACGACGCTATCGACCTCACCAAGATAGATGCTCGCCTCTATGACAAGAAGGTGAGTAGACTTGATAGAAATCATCAAAAAGCACTCAATCAAAGTCATCTTATTTGATTATGTTCGTTTAAAAAAAAAGAAAAGATAGATGCTCGCCTCTATGACAAGAAGGTGAGTAGACTTTATAGACATCACCATAAAAAAACCAATCAGACCTGTTTACCAAAGTCATCTTATTTGATTATGTTCGTTTTATGAAGAAAAAGATAGATGCTCCCCTCTCTGACAAGGAGGTGGGAAAATTAATCTAGAAGGACAAGAGTGAGAAAAATCCACAATCAAAGTCATCATCTGAGCAGAAAGACAAACGACAGGAAGGAATGCGGTACTATTTTGGTCAATGTCTTCTTCAGAGCTGGTTATTTCAGTAAGACAACCTTCTTCTTCTGCTTCTTCAGGTGTCAGGTCTGAAGATGACTTTGACGAAATAAATGGTATCCCTTTCCTTCTTGTTATCTATGTTCTTGATCAGAAGGAAAACGAATTGAAGTAATACTAGATGGACTTAAACTTAATATCATTCTACCAAATATTGGTATTTTATTAATGTCATTACTCTGATCCAAAGCTATTTAAAGCTATTCAGTGATTTCTTTGAAAACACTGTGCTGTCAGGTCTCCTGTCTATCTATCAATCTATTCATTAGTCACTCTATATATTATGTATATATCTGTCTATATAACTGGAAAATCACAAAATAAAAGCAACAGAAATGTTGTTTAGCAAGAGACTGCTGAGAATATCGTGGAAGGAAAAAAAATCAAATGAGGAGACGCTCACAGTTAAAAACAACCAGGAAACGACAAATGCAGTTT